AGGATTCTCGGGGATTCGGCTTTTGAGATTGGGGGACTAAAGTATGGGTTTTAATTTTGGGAATTCTGTAAATTATTGTTGACTTGTTGTCGTTTTGCTTTGAAAATAAACGTGGCCACACTGGCCATCGTAAACCAACCACGTCGTAATGTGTCCAGCGGGATCGAACAACTTTTAGTTTTTTTCTTTCTTATTCGACTTCCCGGGGGCCTTCCATCGGGCGAACACCATCATCGGTCGTCACCATCCTGACCGGTCCCCTCTGCCCTCTCCCCCTTGGAAAGTTGACTAGCACACAAAAAACACTCAATATTCTGTTTCAGACTACCTTCAAGACCTGAAAGTCTGTACCATTTGTGACGTCACACCACTGAAGAGCGCGTGGAAATTTGAATGCTAGTCTCGGCATCAGCTTGAGTTACGGTTTTCTCAATTGCTATTTTTACTTTCACGAAAATAAATAGCGTACCCTGAAGACGAAAGTTCGAGTAGTCAAAAAGTGCAATGTTTGGGCAGCTCGAAAAACGCCCGGAGTTCCCCTTTAAAAACAAGCATGTCCTGGATCTCGCAGTTCCTAAATAACTTTTGTAAATGACAATGAAATCAGCTCCTCTTTCTCTGCGAGAAAGTAGATAGGCGGGTTCTGTTTCTTAACAGTGATGCAATCTTTGAGTAACTACAGCACTAACTTGTAATCCTCTATATCTGAATATACCTCGGTAATTAGCTTTAAAGGACGCAAAGCCGCACTACAGAGAAACTAACATATTTGCTGAGTGTTGAGTCCATAGATGGGATATATCCTTGACAGTAACTTTGTCTCGAATATCTGAGTCGTGTTCATAAACACAAACAGTAAGTTTCCGGGTTATTTAAGGAAACGCCAAACTTAGCGCTATTTGTGTGACACAGTCTAAGGGCAGTAGGTACAGCTAAACATTCCAGACGGAGTGAAATGAGTAAGAATTAAAAGAAAAAGGTACACCAAAAAAACTCTAATTTTACTTGAGCTTGTGTTCTAGTGGTCGTGTATATTTACAAGCATTTCAAAGCGTAGTTTCGTCTTAAAAAAAAATAGAATACTGATTTTTCTCTAAGCTGTTGAATTACTCATGCTCGCAACGCATAATGCATCCTATGCTCAAGGTATGGCAATGATACTCATTTCGAGCTCATGCTGATGTAGAAAGTTGCGTTTTTTTTTAGTTCGTGTGCGAGGCGTTGCTTTATTTTTTTATATATTAAAACTGTCAACCAAGGTCCTGAAAGGCAAGCGGCATAGGCTAATGTAAAATCCTCGCATTACTTTAATAAATCTGACCTTTGTGTAACAGAAACATATTGTTGCCACGGGAACGTGGGATTTATTGGCATCGCGCTGTCAATATATTTAAAATGAATGATATCCAGTAACGTGTTTGCAAAATTATCCAAATTAAATATGAATGCTGCGTTACAAAGTGTGCCCCACTTACACGATAAATATTAACTAGGTTCATTGTTTTAAGAATATCGCTTTGTTCGCCGCCTTTTCTGCCGATCCCATGGTACGAGGAAAGTAAAGAGCGACAAGAAATGTTTTTATCTGATTGTAATAAAGACAGGAATGAAACCAATTCGTCACTTTTCTACATATGCGCGCTAATGCACCACCAAGCGGATGCGACGAAAAAAAAAAAAACACATTTCCAGTGACTCTGAAGCCAGGAAGCCACCACCGATTTCAGCTCTTTTGTGCCCAAAATAATTCCTCCAAGATTTTTGCTGAAGGGTCCGAACATTTAACTTAAATTCGTTCGGTGCCACGTCTTTTAATGTGGCAAATGCAGAATGCACTTAAAACGTAGGCCTTTGATGTTTTATGGGCGAAGCTCCTTAGGGTTTAGCCTTGTCGGGCCGTCCGTCTGTCCGTCTGGACGGCGTCCGTGCTCACATAAAAAGAAAAAAAATTGTTTGCGCAGGTGACGGGATTCGAACCTTTGCTGGGGGACCCCAATGGATTTCTAGTTCATCGCCTTAACCACTCGGCCACGACTGCGGGAGGAATAGGGGGCTCTGAGATGTGGTAGTAACTCAAGAGCTGGGGTTTCTGTCATGAATGAAAGGTTGCATGTAGCCGCTCAACGTCTATACAGGAGAGGGCGCTGCGGTCAAATGCGTATAAAATCGCGTTAAATTTTGCGTGCATTGGCTCAACGTTTATAGACGAGAGGGCGCTGTGGTCAAATGCTCAAATGCGTATATAACCACGTTCCATACCACACATTCTCTTTCTGACACGGACCGTTGACTTAAGCGGTGAAGAAACGTTCCCACGGCTTCTAGCGGATCCAAGCTGATCCGCTAGAAGAACCACTGGCTCTGCATTTCACCGACCATAAAGCAGTAATAATGAAGTCGAAACGCAACCCGGAACTCAGCACTACCTATGAGCAATAAAAAAAAAAAAATCAGCACCATCAGCACTATCTACGAACGATAAAATCAGCATCATCAGCACCACCAGAGCTTCGCCCCAATCAACATCATTCACCACGTGGAGGGGGAGGGGGGAGGGGGGGGGGGGTGCACTGTCGTGCTGGAGCAACTAAGCAAACCACGACGCTCTGACCTGAACACGGATTTCAAAATGTTCTCGAGCAGTTCAGAACCCAATCTGTTGCTGGCACTGAGTCTCCTGGGTCATAAAGTTTGACTATTAGTCCCTTTTGATACAAAATACCGCGAGCATATTGCGTCGGCACTGGCCGCAACCTTTTTGGTCTTCGGGACGAAGTGCTTTCAAACTCTGCGTGCCCGCTTGATCTCTCATTGGGCATAGTGGATTCAACATTCTTCCGAAGTGAAAATGCATAAAAAAAAAATCATCTCCCTCAGCTTCATGGCGTTGGAGCAGCATCTCGCGCGCATACACATGCCACTCCGTAATGTCTGGCATAAGTTGTCCTGGTGCACACCTGGCGGAAACTCTATTGTACTACAGAATATCGTATTTGTTGCGGTTCACTGCGCCATGCATTATGTTCAATACTTTAGCCACTTCATTGATAGTGACACAGAGGTTTTCGTTTGCCCGCGTGGCCAATTTCGGTAGCAACAACGGTGTGAAAATGAGACTAAGACGACGAAATGCGCAGAACGTCAGAGCACCTCACCCGAAGTAGAATAAGTTCGCCACGTGATAACTCGAAGGAAATGTTTTTCTAAAATCTAACGACTCATCTGGCCTATATTGCCACGCCCGTCTGCGAGTGAGCGCGTGCGTGGCCTAATGGTTACCGTGCTTGGCTTCCGCGCGGAGGTCCAGGGTTCGATCTATGGGAGCTACGCGTCTCTTAATTATTCTTTGAGTTTAATTTTCTGGAAAATTGGAGAACCCCGTGTCTTGTTCGAGGTCCGAACGTTCTAGCCGCCGAACCTTCTACTCAGATTGTTCCAGAAGCCAATGTATGTACATAAGAGGCTCCGCGTGGCAAGCAGCGGTCAGTGTCGCCCCAGCGCTCGATCCTGCTATTTCGCCAACATCGACGCGTGCTACGCTAAACCTTTTTTGTTTTGCACAAGAACGTCCCCATTAAACGTTTAGTTTCTTCACTTATTCACCGCCTCATCTCCGCCACGCGCGTCGGCACGTGGCGACTTCGTCGTCGGTTTGGTCGGGTGAGGACGCGGAGAATAACTGAAGAAACTAAATGTTTAATGGGGCGAACTTGTGCTCAAAACAAAATATAAGTTTAGCGTCGCAATCGTTGATGTCGGCGAGATAGCGGGATCGAGCGCTGGGGCGACACTGACTGCGGCTCGCCACGCGGAGCCCCTTATATGGCCACGCGCGTCGCCGCGCGATCGCGTGCGTGGCCGAGTGGTTACCGCACTTGACTCTCGCGCGGAAGGTCTGGGTTCGATTCCAGCGAGCGGGATGTTCTTTTATTTATTCCTTCAGCTTGGTGTTCTCGTGAGTTCGAGAACCTTCTCGTCTGACCGAGTTCCGAATATTCTACGCGCCGAACGTTCAAGGCCGAATGTTCCAGAAACCCAGGTGGCTACAAAAGACGCTCCGCGTGGCGAGCCACGGTCAATCCCGCTGTCTCACCGACATCGACGCCTGCGACGCTAACTTACTATTTCTTTGGGGGGGCACAAGTTCGCCTCATTAAACGTTTAGTTTTTTCAGTCACTCTTTGCCCCATTATTTGTCATTTGTGACAATATACACGCGTTGGCATCTGGAACGATCGGCGTAGAACGTTCGGCTGCAAGAACATTCGGACCTCGAACAAGGGATAGAGTTTTCGAATTCACCAGAACAAACATTAAACTGAAAGAATAAATAAGACTCGTAATTCCCCGGAATCGAACCCTGGGCCTCCGCGCGAAAGCCTAGCACGGTAACCATTCCGCCACGCCCGTACTCGCTCGCCGACACATGTGGCAATATTACTGACTGGCCGGAAATATTAAATTTAGGTATGTCAACCAAATATAACAGTTATGATTAGCGAATTTTAGTCAATCAGGCCACCAATGGTTTCTTTGAACTCGCGCGCCCTTGTGCTCGCCGCAGTCCATAATGTTATTGTAGGAATGCTTCAGTTCCATTGTTTATTTTTGTTTTGTATCCGGCTTGAATAATACCCCACACTGTATACTGGATACCCAGGATGGCATGCAGTGCCGTCTTTGATCGCGATGGCCGTATTACAGCTCTACGTACTGTATATCATGCCAAAACACGTTATGGCGTTTGACATGCTACACATTTGTGAACTTCAAATTAAATCCAATTAATAGCACTTTTCATTATAAGGTTACGAGAATTACACTCATTTTAACACACACCAGTTATACCTGCAGCATAGTTATACTATGGTTATAGTCAGGCTATGTATAGGTATATCCTTTTGCAATATCAGCCGTGAGCGCATCAAACGAGCATAAACAGAGTGCCCGAATATTACGAAAAAAGTAGGCTAAATTGTCTAGACGAAGTGAGAGCTTACCGCGACAGTGCCTGTTGCACTGGTCCATGGTGTAGAAATTGTTTCCGTTGGCCATACATCCTCCGTAGATGAAGGGCTCGCAGCGCTCTGTCTCGCTGTTGTAGTAAAACCGCCTCAGGTAGGCGTAGCATGGTCCAGAATACTTTGGTTGATGACAGACATCTGGTTCCATAGCAAACGATCATAGTTTGAACGCTTCCCTTATCATTAAGAAGAAATATTCGTGGACTAACCGAGACTCGATGTAGCATTATGTGGAACAATTTTGCTCTATTGCCCAATGTTAACAGGAGTATTGTTTTCTACTGAAGGCATACAAATTATCAGTTAAAAACAAACTCTCCTTAAACGTTAAAACCCCCAGCAGCCGGAGTAAATTTTTTCTAGTAAATTTAAAAACTGACGACTGACGAATTTTCATGCCAGGCGAAAATAAAGCTAGCAGTAATGAAGTCGGCGACACAAATAATAGAATAGATGTTTTTCCGACTGTGCTAACATCACCTGATATATAAAAAAGAAGAAACGAACACGGCTGGCAGCTTGAGCGCCCTCTCAGCGTAATTATTTTTCACGATCGTTTTGTTACTATTCATAACGTTGGTACTAATACAAACAAGTTTCGGCATCTCTAAATTCTAGTAGAATACACATTGTCTGATTGACACTAAACCGAATTCAGGGAGTATTAAGTGGTAGACACAACTTTTGGAACAGTTTACTGCGCACAGCGCAGTTAAGGAACCTTAGTAACTCAAGTGAAGATATTTCTGTAACCTAATACTATTGGTTGGACGAGTGCTCATGCACTCATAACATTCTTTAAAATATTTCAAGCGCGTGCTGAAACGGGCAGATTTACAAAACGTAAGAGCATCAAGCTGCAAGTACAAGTTCTTCTAGGCTATGAGCGCACTTCCATGCTTCTGTGGTCGTAGCAATTTGAACTAATATTTGCGTAACCAATGCTTTTGATTCTTAATTGTACACTAATATTGAGGACGTCCCTACTTAGACAGAATTGGGGTTTTGGTTGTAAGCGCGGATCTGCTAAATTAACAAGCCTTCTCGAAACGTAAACCATGTAATATTGTGTATAATTATTTCTTTTCCCTAAGCTTAAAAAAAGTGCCTGTGAAATGCTGCCCATTTGTAGGGTGCACTGATTTATTGGTTTTTGACGATTACCAGAAAGTTTCTAATTGAAACCATACATATAAGTTTACAAATTAAAATTTAGCTAATTAAAACCACATATAATGTTGTTAATTTTCGTAGATCGGCACTTTGGCAGAGGCCAGTATGACATCAAGTGAAAAACAAACCCCTTGAGACAAAGAACCAAATAAAGGGGACTTACACAACACCGTCTCAAAACTCAGCTGAGTTTTGAGACGGTGTTATGTTTGTTCTCTTTTTTTTTTGTTCCTAATCTCAAGTTTTTTTGTTTTTTTTTACTAGGATCGTTCAGCAGCTCGCTTGGGCAGTAACCCTTATGTGAAGACATCAACGTTTTTTTTTTGTGCGATGTGTACTTTTTGGCAGGAGCGATTTCGCCCGCGTTTCTTGGCACACTTTGCATATAGGGAAATAATCAATAACACTTATAAATAGTACAAGCCTAGGTTATTAAGCTATTAGATATTTGTAAAAAAAGGAGTGTAAGATAAATGGACTGAATTTAATTAATGAAAACTCTTAGTCTTAGCTATTTTTCTTTTGACTCTACTAATGTTTCTGCATCTTTGTACCTAGCAAGTTTTAATTACAAATAAAACGTATTATTTCGAAGCATACCCTATACATATTTAACTCTAAAGGGTATTAATAATATAGTTTCCGTGCTTATTCGATTCCAGCACAACCACGTCTGTAACGCGAGGTGGAAATCTGCAACTTATCATATTGCCCTGCTGGGAAAAACATTCAAGGGATGGTGAATCGAAATTTGGATTTCAGAAAATAATGTTGGAGCTATAGGTGGGACGCTACAATCCCTACAACACTACTTGTAAGGCGATATCTCCGAATGGGCGGCCGTATTATTTGAAAAAGAGGTCGAGATTGAACGAGGCCGGCGGTGCGCGTTACGTGAAGATATCTCGTTTACTCCTCTCTTCGCTTCGCCCCCTCAAGGCGGCGAGGCGGAGAAGACGCGAGGCTGTGCCCTCTCCTTCTCGGAAAAACATGACGTGAACATTTCTGTCAAATGCGCCTCCCTTTTTTTTAAAAAAATACAGTCATCCGTTCGAGATATCGATGGATGAGGGATGTTTCTGTGTTTGTAACATCCTGTTGCACGCTTTTGCCGCGTGCTTTGTGGAATCCAGATTTCGGTTCAGCATCCATTTAAAGCCACAAAAGTAACGCGATGCAAATCAATATATAATAAAGTACTATTAGGGTAATTTTTTATTCGACTAGAACTCTTAACAAAAACAAACATCGTAAAATCAAGGAGACAAAAAAAAAATAAAGAAAGCTAGAAGTTATTGCGGTAAAATATAGAAACCGTTGAGCTGGTCGAGTTACCCTAAGAAGGCTAACTACAAGCTCTCGGAAAAAGGCTGTATTTTTACACCCTTTGACCCGTAAGACATCCCAAAACTTTAGTTTGACGTACAGTGCACTGATATCAAACTGACCGTTCCAACTTTTACAAAAGGCTTGATAGTCGTTTGGTACAACTTATTAAAATAGCTAATGTACGTCTTACTAACTACAAAAAAAGTTTGTTTTTTCGGTCTGATAGCAAACTTTCAGTGTTTTCTTTGTGTGGTCTTTGATACACCTACTTTAGCTTTTTAAGAAGTTATAGCTCACCGTTATCAAGCACATCGTAAAATTTGGGAGCGTTTGTTCGCTATAGTGCCCTGTACTTCGAACTGAGTTTAAAGGTGCATTATATGGAACAAAAGGGTGTACGACGACACCCTTTTTTTAGAGCGCACGAGACTTGCGCAAAGAACTGGTTTTGATGTGTTTGGTTCTAGACCTAAAGTATGTTTCAAAATTTATGTTACATAGCTATTTTATTAACTATACTGTGCCTATTTTGATGTAGGTATTTGTATACTACACAACTCGTTAATAGATTTTGTATAAAAAAGTAAATAGCTTCTATGGATCTAATTTCAAGAATTATTAGGTTTATTCTGCCAGCATGAGGCTGAACACTTCATTAGACATATGAGGTTAATTTGGGGGCCATCCAATTATGATGTGAGGGTGGCTTTACAGCGCAAATTTTTTGGGAAAAGAACTAGTTTTACATCCGAGTAAATACAATACATGCCTTCACATCGTGTTCTACATGAGTCGATGTCTTCGAACCTGTTGTCATTCCCTCCACATCCACTATACTCAAAGTCCTCACAGCGACCCGTTTGGGAGTTGTAGTAGAAGCTTTCGAGAGCTTTGTCAGTTGTGCAGGCTCCTGGATCCTTGGGCATGTGGCATAGATCTGAAAACACATTGAGTATTCATTCATGTTGTGATACCGAATACACTTTTATTGGAGCGTTTAGCTGCTACAATAGATATGTTTACAGCAAAACGTCTTTTTTTAAAGACATACAATTCATTTTATGTCTTCGTTTATGTCCTGTATGTGAGTAAATATTGTGATCTCACGCGAGTTTCACATATAAAGTTCCTGATTCTTGCTATTCAAAAAGTCAAAAATCGACGCTTAAGGCTATTTAAATGTTTGCCAAAAGTAGAATAAACGTCTATGTAAATTTTCAGCGGTTTAATATTGCATTATTCTTGTCATTATTTATGCAACCAGTCTAGAAATTTTGTTGATATAGACGCAGATCATATATCCGTGTACACGCATGAATAAATATACATTTTCGGGAAATCAAAAACAAAATGCGCATTTCTCATTTTCTGTTTACGTGGAAGGAACTATTAGCGAATAAATACGCAATTTTAGTAAGACGGAAAAAGTTTAGCAATTTGCAGTCATACATTGATTCGGCTTAAGTCCAGACGCACCGGATGCTACAAGGTAATCATACCAATCAAGTAGCGTCGAAATCGCAAGTCACTAAGTATTTTCTTGCTTTCTGGGATCAGCGATGATAAAACACGTCAACAAGCATGACGAATACTATGATTGTATACTTTTGACGCTGTCTGATTTGCACCGTCCGCTCGTAGTGTCGGCCCCGTCTGGACTTAAGGTGAAACGAAGTATAGTTGGCTATATCACCTCTGAGTGCTTTGCATGGGCACGGCTGCGCTGCCCCCTAAAGCGCCCAACACGCCGTTACTCTTTGCTATTCAGGTTGGTGCAAAGCAGTACTTCCCTGTAAAGAGCACTAACTTATTTCTGGTAGTGCTGCCTTGCCCAAAAAGCAGTTTTGAAGCGTTTGATAGGTTTTTTAAATGCTTTGTGGGGATGTCAATAAAACTCCAGGTACCACTATTATAAATTAAAATGCATTTGTAAACTGCCTTCGGGCAACTGTTACACATCTGAAGTCGTCTCGAACTGTCCCAGAAAATGAAGACACTTTCTGAGGAGCGTACTATTAAAGACAGAACAGTATCTGAATCGACAGAAGGAGTGTGCACGCTTGAAAAGGAACTTCTAGCTTCAAAGTCGGGCTCACGAATAGCGCAAAAAAAAACATACAAACAAACAAACGACGCCAGATTAGAAACGGCGCATGCTGAACTTGCAGTTCTGAAATCTCGCAAGAAATGATGCAGAAAACCGTTCACGGAGATCGAACATGTTGTGCTTTGGGTTAGGGGATAAAGATTAGGGAACGTGGGCAAAGACAGAATCCCTTGTCGTCAAACTTTATGATGAAAAAAATGGGAATAAATTTAGACCTTCAGGCAATTGATAAGGCGCATCTCATAAGTGCGCCCTATCAATGCAACGCTAATAAATATATAAATTTCCGTGAAGTTCTGCCTTTTCAAGCAGAGAGGATCGGTAAAATAGTCCGGTTACAAGCATAACAACAGCAGCTTCGCTGTTAGCGAGGACTTTTCTAAGCCACTTCATTTGGCAAGAAGAAAGCTCGTCGAGGTAACGAAAACAAAAATCTTACTATTCAGGTTAACAATTGACCGAGCAGATCTTAAAGAAAAATGCTTTATGTTTGATTATGAGACTGACAGCGTGCTTGAGGTCGACGCAAGACAATCCAGAGAACTTCCTGAAAAAGTCTCGGCGTCAGGATTGTCATCTGGCAAATAAAGTTATATAAGGGCAAATGACTCTGCAGGTTGCTCTGCGCACTTTATTAAAGCAATTACTCGTGATAAACAAAGGGCACACAAACAAGGTATGACCACGAGAAACTCGGACGTTGGAGTGGTCCTGGTTGTAAACTGCCGGAGTATAAAAAATAAAGTTTACGCATTCATAGGCTTATGGCAAACGGTTACATCTGCATTTGTTCTAGGTACGGAGTCACGGTTTGATGCCAGTATGTTCCAGCGAAGCCTTTATAATACTTATGTAGTTTACAGAAAGGATATAAATTTTCAAGTCGGAGGTGTCTTCATTCTAGCTGAAAAACCTATTCCCAGTGGCCCTATGACCACCACAAAAGGCAACATAGACGAAGTGTTGTGACAGATGAGCTTAAATGGAAAACATTTTTCTGAAGGTTTCCAGCTGAAGGTAGAGGGGGAAACAGAGAAGGGGAGAAAAAAAGGCACACACTGCTGCATTATCAACCATTTTTTCGGTAGTTGTTAATAATGTCCCCCAAATAAAAGCGGCAAGGGTTTGAAAGAACTAACGGATTCACTATTTGCGGCCATTAGAGGGTGTTGTCTTGAGAAATGATTTTAATCTCCCATATTTAACTTGGAAAGGTGTCCTCAGGAAGCTCGCTTCACACTAAACTTCAAACAATCGTAGAGCTGTTCGAATTAACAGAGTACGTCACCGAGGGAACGCGGTTCATGAACATATTATGCTTGTTGTTAGGCTACTTGCCGGGAGCAGTGGACGATGTCTGCGTGTTACCTGAAATTTCTGATCATACGAGTGTGACAGCGACATTAGTCTATCCAAAGATATAGAACCAAGTGTCAGAAAAGGAAAGTGTTTTACTTTGTTACAGGAAGATATAAGAAGAGAACTATCCAGTTTTTTCGTTTTTAATGCAGTCAGATATGACCAGCATTGGTTCACTTTGGAGGAAAACTTTACAGACTCGTTGAGAAATATATTCCCTCCGCAATGCACTCTTAGAGAACTGAAAGCAAACCTTGGGTAGCAAATATATTGAGTAAAATTACTAAAGGAAAACGAAGAACGCACCTTCGGTTTAGAAATAACTTATAAGGGGAACACTTAACAAAGCGAGCTTGAAAAATGTTTCTACTCTACTTAAAACTTCAATGAAATATTCCAACTCAAAATCTTACAGGAATTAAATGCAAAATTAACAATGATCTCTAAAGAAATCTGGAAACTCTTCAAGCAAATAAGAACGGTGATATATTTCTTTCTCCTCTCTTAAAAGAAAATGCTGGTCCTTAACGTTTTTATTTTTTTATTTATTGTGCTGGCTGAAATTTAGTATACCGATGTATTTCTCAGTGATGATTTGAAAGATGGAATTAGTTTTCAGATATGTCTAATAGATTCTGAGTTATCAATAACTTTGTAATTTTACTAGTCCTCCTTACGGGTCATTAGCGTAAAAGTGTTCAGAATATATCATAATAATATTAATGTTTATTTACACCATTAGATGATGGCGATCAGGGAAAAAAGCTGTCAGGTACAGCTTGACGGGTCCCTGACCGCCTACAGAAAGCAGCAACAGAGCCAGGAAGAACGGTAATCAAGAGAAAAAAAATGTACAAAGATTGTCACTATCACACATTTTAAGCGAAAATTTTAGATTTTTTTTTGGGTTGAGGCATGACGGACAGCAGAGAAAAAAATTATACAAACACTAAGCACAAAGATTACAAAAAAAGGCAAGTACCTCTAGCTGCTGGAGAAAAATGGTGATTTTACTTCTCTTAGGGATAACTTATCCCAATCCATACTTTTAGTCATACACGAATTGAGCAGATTGGGGATAGTGTATTTAAGCATTTGTTTGCCATAGTTAGTTCTTGGTGTAGCCACCTCCCAACATTCAGCACCACAGGTAGGGTAACCATGAACATTTTTTGATAAGTGTCCAATATCTGTTGTGTCTTTAAGTTGCTCTAGTTTAAGGCTGGTGCTAAGCCTATAATCACATAATGTATGCACGTTTATGATGCGAAATTTCTGAAATAAGCCAGCTGTGTGAAAATCATACGAGACGGCAGCTATAGCCCTCAGTGCTTTTTTCTGCAATAATGTAACTTTTCTAGATTTGTTAAAGTTGTTGTTCCCCAAACTAAATGGCAATAATTTAAGTGAGAATAAAATAGAGAACTTTATATTAATAATTTAACGCTTGTTGGTAAAATATAACGTTGACGATTTAACATGCCCACAGTTTGGAATAGCTTTAGAATTAAAGAGTTTATATGACTTTCCCACGCCATATTTTCAGAGAAGGTGACACCTAAGAGTTTAAAACAATTCACAATCTCGATTTTGGTTGAATTCAAAACTAAGTCCTTATTAATGGTAACGAGTTTATTTTTAGGACGAAAAAGCGTGGCTTTGGTTTTATTCACATTTATTTTTCATGCGTTGTTACGACTCCACGTTTGTAACCTAGAGAGTGAGAGATTTGCCGTATTGAATAGCAGATCAGTATTATCTGCAGAAAACAGTATGCTCGTGTCATCAGCATAGTTTACAAAGTTTGCGCTTACATTAATATTTACTATGTTATTCAGGTATATCTTAAAGAGGAAGGGGCCCAATATACTACCCTGTGGTACACCAGAAAGGATAGGTTTTATATAGGAGGAATTCCCATTGATATAAACATTTTGCGTTCGATGCTCCAGATAAGATTTTATTAGCTGTAAAGCGTGCCCTCAAATTTCATAGTTATCTAATTTCGATAGTAAAATTTTATGATTGAGTCAGTCAAACGCATTGGTAAAATCTATAAAGACTCCAATAACCATATTTTTGTTTTCAAAGCTTTGTAAAATAAATTCTTTTAGAACAAGTAAGGCAGAATCAGTCGACTTGTGTTTTATAAATCCATACTGTGATGCAGTTATCAAGTTGTACTTATTCTTATTTACTGATTTACTTATTTTATTTATTTATTTATTTACTTATACTGATTTATACTTATAAATGTTTATAGAATTGCATTCATCAAGATATGCTTTGTGCAGTGTTATGTTTGTTGCTTTTTGTCATACAATAATTATAATGAATTAGTTTCAAAAAAGATATAGCATTCCGTTTTGTTCAACTCGATTGCAAATGCTTTTTAGGAATGTAATATCATTAAATCAGGCTTAAAATAGCATCACCACTCAAAACATGTCGGTCATGGCAATTCTATAAAA